ACATCAAGTGTGAGAACCTGAGAATGCATGACAGTTTAATTTACTGAGACCCAGCTCTGTGAACCAGGCATATCTGTATGGCTAGAAGCACTTACACCATTCATTTCAACATGTCTTGCAGGCACTAACAGTACATGGATTCTATTCAAGACTGTCTCACTAATAACGCAAATTGTAAAATTTTTCTTTATTTTATAAACTCAGTAAATCTTCATTCTTCTTTGTAATTGACAAGGCATAGAAAATTGCAGGTTGTGACAACGTGAAGCACGGCAAGCCATTTTCAGACAAAAGTTTCACTGCTGATCTCTTTCATCATTATTGTACTCAAAGTGAACTACAGTAAGATTTTTTTTGCTGGATTTAAAAGACTGCAGGCAAGGTCATTTGTGTTCATTTTACTCCAAAGGTCTTTTAAGCTTTACTGTGTAATTACTAAGACATGAATGAAAGCAGACTGAAGCACAAAATGAGAAAAATATGCTTCATCTTCAGGAACAAAAGTTCATAGAAATTTTATGCAGCTCTGAGGAAAAACAAACACAAGAAAAATGAGCTCTGGGTGCTTATTTTCCTATATTAAGCCTTGTGTTGGGTTTTGTAGTGATTATTTCTTAGCCACATCGATATCTACTTACTTATAATAAGCTCCATTATTATAAGATGAGTCATTACATTTTAGTCTGATTTTAAGGAGGTACTGCAGGTGTTCCAATCTTCTCCAGTTTACTTCCCAGTGTAAGGTGAAGCAAACATATCACGGTTCCTTAACTACATCTTGTGACTACTGCATATTAATGAAGGAACACTGCTATACAACAACCATCTTTTCATAAAAAGAAGAAGCAGAAGTTCAGTTTTTTCATATCGGATTTGAATGGTATCAACTAAGTGTCTAATATAGCTGCCAGAAGCAGTCAATATTGACGACTCTTAATGCAAAATGACATAAACAATTCAGCTTGGAATGTCAGGTCAATGCATGAAATTAGGAAGAACCGCATTAAGCAGTATTCGTAAAGTCCAATTATTAACCCCTTGGGGCAAACAATTCTGAACAGCCAGAAAACATATTAGTATTTGTTATAGACCCTGTAACATCACTGAACAGCTGGGGAATTTTCCAACGTAAACATTGTGACAGAACAGTTTGTAATTGTAATTAACTTGTAATCCATAAAGCAAATGAATAACAATGAATCTTGGTTTGAAGCATAGTGCTCAATCAGAGCTTCAAGCGGATGGCAATACTGGATCAACACTATGGAAGCCCTTAAAACAAATTTATTTGATTTACTTTATCATCATTATTCATTCTCGTCTATAAATATGACAAAAATATGTATTTATTCACTATAGGAAATTCTGCAATCTCATACACTGACAGCAAATAAATATTTTTTTAACCTTTCCACAAACCAAATCATTTTTTATTCAGTACTGCTCTCAAATAAATTTAATAAAACTTTCATTTTAACAAATTACCAACACTACTGCTTGCATTTTCATAAACTGCCACACATTTTGTGTATTAAACATAGAGAGCCTCAAGCATTTCAGGAGCCCCATTTATTTATAATGTATTTTAATTTGAAATTTAGTGTTTGGGAAATGGATCACAGAATCACACTTTGCTACCTTGGGCTATGGAAAACTAACAGCTGTCCTACTTTCTGAAAAAGTATATTGGTGCAATTTTTTATTAGTGCTAATAATGAGGTCTAAATGGTGCACCAAATAAAAATGAAGCAAGCTTGCTTAATTCTAGTGTGCAGTGAACTCCAGAGTAACTATGAGAGGCATGCTAAGCTTTTAACACTAAGAAGACGACCTCTTTATCATTCAAAACAGGTCAAAGAGGTGTTATTCTGGTTACATTAAAAAAACTATCCCATATTATGGAGAGTATCTGTGACTTCCTCTTAAGCCAACAAAGTTTCAATTAAAATGAAAATTGTCAGACCGATAACTCAGCATTGTACACACTCATCATTATACAGCTGTCGTCTTTCAATTATCTTTAATGACCTTTTTTCAGTAGTCATCCTTTTTGAAAGCAATCAAGTCCTTTGCTCAGAAAGGAATGCAATTAAATTTAGTCCCTTAACTTCAAGCATATACTGTACTATTGGGTATTTTTTCATACTGCAATCAAAACTGTAATGTCTTTAGGTTAATGAATTTAACAAAGTTGACCCTGAAAGCACAGACAAAATGACGATAAACATTTTTTGGAAAACTTTACACACTTCTTGTACATTCTTTTTAACTTAAGACCTTCTGTTGTCAAGGCTTCTATCTAGGTTTTTCCTATTGTTAATTTCTCTTAGGATTGTCCTATGATACCTGTTCATGGCATTACATGATATATAAATAGAGTTATTTCAACAAGTGACATCAGTAATGGATACAGGCAGAGGAGATGATATGGTAAATTTAGATTTCCAAAATGCTTTTTAGGATGTCTATTGAAAATGATTAATTCTCAAACTCCAGGTAACTTTTGCAGGCATTCAGGGAAATGCAGATATTTGGATTAAGAACTGGTAAATGGACAGGAAAGTGGTGAATGCTCCAATTGCAGTGATATAGTTAATGGTGTCCCATAGAGATATCTATTAATGACACTGCTTTCCCTAATTTATATCCATGAACTAGATTCTGGCAGAGTCAGTAAAAAGAGTGAAATTCAAAAATGATGCCACAGTAACATGATTTGAAGGCACTACGGAAGCAGCAAAGGAAAAATAATATATTGCTAGAATTGAAGAATGGCTAAACACCAAAAAGATCACATTTATGTGGACAAGAGAAGAGCTGCTAAGATATCAATTGTAAATATACAGTGGGAAACACAGAGCTGGAAAAAGGTACTAATAAAAATATGTGCATTAGTGATTAGTCTGGAGGACCTATTTACATATAACCATATTTTCTGTAATAAATGGAAAAGTAGTAAATCAACTTAGAAAGGACCCACCATTGCTTAGTCCTTAAACTTACATGTTCCAGTTTCCTGGTCTAGATTCCTTTCATTTGCCTACTGGCAGATTCTGTTTGGCCAGGGACCAGTATCAAACCTGTGATTTCACATTCTCCTGACATAGCCACTCTTAGTGATATTCCCCTCAGCTCTAACCATATCAACTTAAAGTGTTTCAGCATGAATCTTTTTGTTTGTCTCATTCCCAAAAGATTGTAAACATCCCCCCCCCCCAGGTATAACCCAAGATCAACACCCCAGATTCCCTCTCTTTTGTTAAAATGTATATTTTTCCACTCATGCCAAAGAACACATAATAGCCCTTGATATCACATGCAGTTTGTCCATTAGTGACCTGCTTAAACCTAGCATCTAATCACTTGATCTGTAGGTTCTAGTAACTGCTCAAAAACTAAGTTCCTGACATCAAGGATATTCATTCAAATATGCGTTCCCAAGCCATTGTTACGTCAGTGCCCCACAGCTACAGTAGCTTGACTTGATGTCTCCATTATACATAAAAATTAGAAGAAATACCTCTGCTAGGTACTAAAATTAGCTTCACTGCATGAAATACCATGGAAAAACATAGATAAAGGGACATTGGCCTGTCTGTTCATTTAATGGCTTTCAAGCAACATCAACAATCCAATAGTAATGCACAGACTGCTTCAAGGTCTTTTTTTTTTTTTGGAAAGCTAATTGAAAAGGAGATGAATAATTCTAGAATGCTTTTTCATACAATTCATTACCTCTTAAATGCAGACTGTAGACTCGCTAAACTTGTTGAATTAAAAAAAATGTATAAAATATTAAATCAAATTGTATTTTATGATTCTCTGCCTGAGAATAATTACAGTATGTAATCTCAAGGTTAATATATCTCATCTGAATTTCTACCCAGCAAATACCTGAAATTATCACTAAAATAATTTCCTTGGATCCTATTACCACTGCCTTCTGGTGTTCAAATCTTAGCAAATCTCATCTCTTCTTTGTGCCATTGTCATATCTTAAATGCTGTTAGTCAATAATATCTTGCATTTTTCCATCAGTCATTAAACTTGACATTATTATTTCTCTGTTGAAATAGCTGAACTTAGACCCCAGCCAGTTCAGTAAATATTGGTCTACATCTAACTTTTAACAGCATGCTGGTGCTGTTCAGTAACAAGATTATATATTTTCAAACAAGCTGTGTAAACTATTGGTCACGCCCTCTGCAGCCAGAGG